CCCTAACGCTTTTGGGAGCTGGCACAGCCCTTCTGTCTCGGGTTCGGCAGCTCTCCCCAAAAGGAACCCCTGGCCAGTCCTTCGCTTCAGCCTCCGCGGCCTGAAGGTCTGAAGTAAGGGGGAAGGGGCAGGCAGGCGCCACCAGCCCTATCCCAGGAGTCCACTGCCGCGCCCGCCCCCCGGGGGGTCTCCATCAGAGACCAGGCGGTCGCCCCAAGGAAGGGCACAGCGGCCTCCTCCAGAGAGCTGGCGTCCAGGCCAGGGGTCAGAAGCTTGTCCTGCAAACAAGGGCTTTGGCCCAACATTGGGCTAGCTAAGTGGTGGTTTTTCTACTATAGGCTGTAACACGGTTGCCAACGTTTGAAGTAGCCTCCGCAGCTGTGTTTTGAGCAAGGATTTTTGCCAGCCAGACAGCTGTAAAGAGCAGATGAGGACAGGCGGTGGAGTGCAAAGGCCAGTTGCCAACAGTGCAGGGGGTGGAAGCGAGGGGCTGTCACAAGCAGCCGTGGCACCCCTCCCACTTGCTCTTTGCCTCAGAAACCAGCTTGTTTTGTGGTCTGCTCACTGAACCAATCCTTGGAAAGTCACGTTTGCCTCCAGCAAAACGAACAAAACAGGGCAGCAGTGCTGGTGAAAGGAGGGGAGAGAGAGGCAGCCGGGAGCTGGCCAGGATTTTGCATGGCTCACCTGCACTTCCATAAACAAGCTGGGCTGGGGCTGGGACCCACAGCCGCCCCGGCAGCCCCACGGGCCGAGGGGGCAGCTCCCTGCAGCTGGTGTTCGCTCCTGCTAAATCCTAAGACGGGCCGGGTGAAGGGGGCTTTCCCCACAGGTTTTTCCCCATAAGATTACATCAAGTATAAAATACCACTGCTGTTCTGCAGAGGTCTATGAACGATTATTGGCCGTCAGAGCTAGACGTAGCCTCCACGAGCAGAAATAGTATACCTGTGAATATTATATGTTGGGGTCAACCACATGCCAGACGCACACATTTTCTCCCTGCAAATGATATCCTGAGAGTGGCAGGGCCTGATTTCTGTGGCATAAAGGTTGGTGTTCACGAGATTGACTCCTGCAGTTCCAGGAGCTGTTTGAGGGCTGGGGCTCCTTGGGGTGGGGGAGGAAAGGTAACCTGTCTGTTCTTGAGACCATGACTTTGGGAAATAAGAACGCAAAAGAACTCCTCCTTTCTTCGTATCTCCCCTAGCCAAATGAACCCCATTTGCACAGTCTGCCCCCAAAGGAGGCCTCTCGGGAGAAGCAGGGGAGGCTGTGGAGCAGAAGAGCTGCCCCATGGCTGAGAACAGGTGGAATTGGAGGCATCAGAGGCCGGTTCAGGCCACGTGCTTTGCCAGCTGCATTCACACCCGGTTTCAATTCTTTTCTTTTCTTCTGCTTTGGAGATTGCAAATCCAGCCTGCTTGGTTAGGTTATGATTCAAAATATTATGCAGACCCAGGAAATGAATTGATTCAGCCAACCAGTGAAGCATATTGTGTAAACTCAGTCCTGTTGCTAGCATGAGTAGTGTGGGGCAATGAAGCTTCACTGCAGATCGACTGGCTCAGAAAAGAGTTAGGATGCTCTGGAGGAGAAAGACCATGGGACTCAGTGGGGGCTACTCTGGAGTAGGCAGACACGGGATTCTGCCAAAATCAGAGTTCAGAAAACGCCGCTTGGCTGAATTGGGACTGCTTCTTGGTTCTGTGCCCTCACGTGGCATTGTTTTTGGGTCCTTGCGAAATAGGTGCACTTTGTAATTAACCGCAATAATATTTACTGGTTTTGCACTTTTCTATGAGTTGGTTCTACTGTTCTTCCAGTCAGTTTCAGAGCATTTTGAACTGAAAGAGTATCAGCATCTATTTGCAATTTAACCGAAACACAAGAGAATATTAAAAAAAAGATAGAAAACTTGACCATAAAGAGGTAGGCTTTTTTCATAAAGTTTACTGGGCAGATAGCAGATTTATGTTTTATAAATTAGCTTGTGCAGAAAAGTAGGCTCTAAAGCTTGACTAAAACAGGTCATCTATATTCTCTGTATAGGGAAATAAAATTACTGCTTAAACTTTTATTTTTTTTCAAATTAAATCTCAACATATGGTCACAGTTTATTTTGAGTTATGTATTTTATGTTACTGTTGTTGGTCTTGGAATAGTTGTATATAAATTCAAAGCCTCATAGACTGAAGTGAAGTTTGGGATGTGTTCCTTCAAATGCTGTGAAAAAATACAAAAAGTAAAAAGAAAGGGTGGCTGTATATATGTACGTGAACATACCTATACGAGTATACAGACTATCAAATGCAATAGTTCAAAGTAATATTGATAGCTTCATTTTTTAAATTTCCTTCTGGTATGGATTTTAAGGCACCAAGATATGTACAAAGCAAGTCAAGAAATGTGCCATGGAAAGGGTGGGATTGCGCAAGACGTCCAGGAGTTTGGGAAAATTCCATAAGCGATGCCCATTTTGAGTCCTTGGTGAAAATGCTTTCGCTGCGCTACACTGGAGATCCAGTCAGACTTGCTTGAGTGAAGAGCCTGGGAAGAGAGGATGGGGACGCGGGAGGCTGTGTTGGACTGGGAAGGTGGGCTTTTGCTGGCAGCGGTGGGCCAGCTTCGCTCATCATCCTGAGCGTCCTTTCAAAGCGCAGGCACTTGGCTGTCAGCTCCCCCAGTTTACTAAACACGTGGAATGATTTCCAACAGGAATGTTGTAATCACCGCTAGCTTAAGCTGTAGAGACCAAATGAGAAAGTAACTACCTTGCATTCAGAAATCTAGCATATGAGGAAGAAGGGTATGCTAGAACTGATAACTGTGTGCAGGAACCTGTTTTGTTTCTGTTGGCTTGGTTTTAATGTGAAGGATACTGGAGACTTTTCTTAACTGTGGCCCAATTCAGTCATATATAACCCTCCCCTCCGGTCAAGCAGATCTTCCACATCAGTTACAGATTATATCGACGTCTTAGAAGATGGTGCTCCATCGCTGGAGGTTTTCAAGGAAAGATTGCACAACCATTTATCCGAGATGGTCTGAGGACTCCTGCCTTGGGCAGGGGGTTGGACTAGAAGACCTCCAAGGTCCCTTCCAACCCGAGGATTCTATGATTCTGAGATCATCTTCCTTGCCCAACTTTTCGGATTGTGCCTTCCTCTTCTCTGGGAAGGCAGGTTGTGGGGAGGGGGGGTTGTCAACATGGGCTTTTCACTGCCAGGATCAGAGCCAGCTGAAAGAAACTACATCAGTGGCATCCCATCCTTGGCAGCAGTGGGGAGGAACTGCCCTAGGTCCAACCCCGGATTTGGTGCAATGTTGGCAAGAAAAGACTGTGGTGCCAGCAGGGCAATCCTCATCCAACACTGGTGGTGCAGAGCATGGACACAAAGCTGCAGCAAGAGCACCAGCAGCCATGCCCAGTTATTGAAGACACTGTTGTGGCTGCAACAGCCCACAAAGAGAAGGCGCTTGGTAGCAACCTCAAGTCAACATTTAGAAGCAGGTCTGGTATCTTGACTGGTAGCCATTATGCTTCAGGAAATACATCAAAAGTTCCTGAATAACTACATTGTCTTGGGCCTCTACAGCACTTTTGATGGTAGCCTGTTGATGAAGGGGCTCCACTGCTGAACATCAAGACTCTGGAAGGGCATAGAGTGGTTGCAGAAGGAGAAGGACATTGTACAAAGTCCTTGTAGTTGAGCCTTCTCTTTCTTCATTGTAATTCTGGGTTGCCCCTCCTGGGGGCTAAAGATTCAGATGGTTTAACGACCATTCTTGACCTGAATATTAATTTGAATTTTAAATTTATAAAATACACAGGAAATCCTCATATCCATATCTGTATCTATCTTAAAGTAGAGTAAGGCCTCATCTACGCTCTGGCTCAGACTACCCTAGAAAAGCCCTGCCAAAGCCCTGCTATTTGGCACTGCTTGGGCTATAATGAGCCACAACCTGATACAAATCTTGGCTTTCA